ATTAAAATATTAATGCCCCCTGGAAAGATAAAACCCGGATCCTTGTACACCTTTGTCTTACAGGTAAGAGGGAAGACTTGTGAGGAGAGGGTGAGGAGGGGTTAACCCAGGGAATGAGGTGTTCCTACCAGGGCTCACCTGTTTGGGTGAGAGGAGCCCCGAAGAAAAGCCTTCCCTTTACCCTCATCAGAGCTCCATCTAGAACTTCACTGTGCAGAGCCCAGGATGAGGGGACCAGGGAGGAAGGAGAGGCAGGGCTGAGGGTAGACTGGATGCGAGGGGCGACCTTCAGTCAGTCGCCGAGTGCAGGAGTGTGTGCGTGCGTGCAGGGCAGTGGGGGGCACGCAGGGTGCCCCACAGGGAGGGCAGAGCCGCACTGACCAGGCCATGCAGCGGTGCCATTGTCTTTCCAGGTCTGTTCTCTACATCTGAGGTGGAGAACTAGTCTGTGGTTTTTTTCCAGTTCTAGAGAAATCCCCTGCTCGCTCATTCCTCAGTTATTTCAGCTTCCTCCTCCTACTTGACGTCACTTCATTTTCCATCTACTGTCTCCTTGCAGTCATGGCAATTAATTCTCTGTCTCTTACCCATGTGACTGCTTCTTTCTCTCTCTTCCTTGGACACTTGGGCCAGAATTGAAAACAGTCCCCCTCTAAAACTAATGTTTTAAATGTGTTTTTCTATGTCCATGTCGACCGCAGACATGTTTTCTTATCTGGCTCATCTTAGCTCTGGATTGCGAGTTGCACAGGCCCAGCTTTGCGATGGATACACTGGGCCTTCCCTCCAGAGCACAGTTTAATTGATGGAGGTGATTGTTTCAGAAGACAGCATTTGTTTTTCCATCGCTAGGTGCTTTGTCAATTGATTTACATTCATCCTCACTGAATCCTCACAGCAACACTGTCAATTCCAAGTGCCTATTTTCATCAAACAGGTGAGGAAATGACCACTTGGGGATTAAGTAACTTGGTGCAGTTATAGTTGTGAGTGTTGGTTCCAAGCTGACATTTATGGAGCATGGAGACGAGTCAGGCTCTTGGTGCGTCCAACCGAGTCCTCAGGGAAACTACAGAGGCAAGTATTCTTACTATCCTCACCTTCCCGGTCAGGAAGCGGGCTCAGGGAGGATACATATGGGGCAAACACCACACTACTGAAATGCAGGCTGTCCGTCTCCACAGTGGCACTTCTAGTTTTTGCTCTTTGACCACTGACTGCTTCTAGTTATTAAAACACCAGAAGAAAGTCTGTGCCATTTGGTTTTGTCCCTGAAGCGATCCCAGGGCAGGACCCTAAGGACAGAGTTATATCCAGGTTGCAGGGGGAGGCCCTGGCTGGCTGCAGATGAGAGCCCAGGCGGGAGAGGGCTGGAAGCATGAACCGGTTAACGTGCAGAGGGAAGGCAGAAGCAGCACGGTGGTGTCAGGGCTGCCTCTGTGCGTGCCCTGGAAATGCACTCGGCCCTCAGCTTGGCTTCCAGGCTGGCCGGGGGGCTGGCTGGCGTGAAGCCTGCTGGAAGGGAAGCCCCGTCGGAGGAGCCAGCCCAGGACCCCGAGCGGCGGCTTCCCCCTCTCCCACCTTTAGCTTGAGCTGATGAATTGGCAGCAACTGTGTGACATCAGAGAGACATTTTCTTCTTTGTGAGTTCAGAGCTTCCATTTGAAAATTCCTCAGTCACAAGGCGAGACTGCCGAAGCCCAGGCACACTTGTGGCAGCAGCAGGTGGCGGGCGCTTGCTCCAAGTCCTCCAGCAGCTCGCGTAATCCCGGGGATGGCCATGTAAGGTGCGATCGCTGGCCTTATTTAGCACCGCAGCGCTGCCAGCTCTCAGGAGCCCTGCAGTGACGTGGCCGCTGCAGCCGGGCACACCGAGCAGGCGCCACCAGCCGCGGCCCCGCCTCAGGTTTCTGCCCCATCCTACTCTGCCTGTCCTCTCCCTGGTGAAAACTCGCACTCCTTTTTAACTAAATGGGCTCAAAAATTACCCAAACTTGTTCTTTCTTAATTGTTCTGTGTGGTATGAGTGTGAGTGGTGGTGGGGAGGGCAGTGATGAATCTAATGTGGAAACTTGAGTGGTAGAAGGAGTCATTATTTGATTGACTGATTGATTGATTTTAACACTAACAACCATAAGCAAAAATAAGGAGTCTTATTTTAATATGGCAAAGGTCAGAGTTGAAGGGAGCTTAGATCTCTAAATACTGCCAGCCCTTCATCCTACTAGGTAGGAAACCACAGACTCTGAGAAAGAAATGACCTGCCCAAGGCCCGTGGTGTATTAGTGGCAGAGGTGGGACTCGAACGATGACCTTGGGCAAGTTTCTCTTTGGGCCTCAGTTCCTTCACTGATAAAACAACATGGTGGTATTTAATGATATCTAAGGTTTCCCTGTAGCTCTTAAAAATATAAATTTGTAGTTGAGTGACTCTCCGAGGCTCCTTGGGGAATCCTAGGGGCTCTAATGGAGCTGGGGCCCCGGACAAGGCAGGGATCATGGCTACAAGGATTGGGTCTTTAGGTGAACAGATAACTCCCAGACTTTAGGTAGCTGATTTCATCTCCTCTGATGCCCACCTCTTCACTTCAGTCCCTCCCCGCCACCTCGCCTTTGGAGGCCAACCTTCATCTTAGAACAGTCATGCTCCCTTCTCCCTCTCTTCCCAGTGGTCTACGGACACACGTTCCCTGATTTCTGCTCATTTAAGGGCCACTGTTTCTCCTGCTTATATTTCGTTGCATCCCACTACCTTTAGTGAGGAATACCCTATACACAGGGTACTGCAGACTGTCCATGTAAGAAACATCCAAATCAGTAGAGAATTTTTAGGAGAGTTTATTTCAGCCAAACTGACAGCATGTACCGGAAAGCAAGATCCCAAATGCTGTGGAGAGTAAGTTTTGCAGTTTCTCTGACGTGTTTGAAATTGGGGAGACATAAAGATTACATGGAGGTGAGAGAAAGCAAGGTGGAGATTGGATTACAGGAGAGTTAAGATTATGTGCTCTCTTGAGGGTTAATATGCCCTTCAAAGGACTACTACTGCTGCTGATATTTTAAAGGTGTGTTAACTTAGATGCACAAGAACAATGGGCAGGGCTGGCTTTATTAAAACCTTTCACTAAAAAAGGTTTTAATAAACCTTTAAAATTAAAAAGGGCCTGGGGCATAGCTACCCATCATGACCTGCCTGGTTAGGACTTCATGATCAGATCACCCAGTGAGGTTACTTTCCATAGAGCCCTCTTTTTAGGGTCCACAACATTTTACATGGTCACACTGAACCTTCCTACTTCCATCCTCCAACTTGGGTTACCACTCCAGAATGGAGATGAAGAAACCAGGCTCAGAAATGTACAAACTTGCATGTCTCCACAGCTAACGTGGAGTTCCTAACGTGACTCAAATCGGACTGGAGACCAGGCTTCCTTTCTTACATTGCTCGAACTGCCCCTCGCGTTACCTCTCTGGCAGCCCTGAAGCTCTGGCTGTGGCCCTGTATTTCATTTGGATGTAACAGGTAGTAACGAAACTGAGGGCACTGATTCTGTTCCTATGAGGTTCGATGTCTTCGTCCTGTTCCAAGACCGCAGACTGTGCCCTTAAATTTGACCCCTTCTCTTATGATGAGTACTTGGGATTGGGCTCAGAAGAACCAGAAGCATTTGCGTCTTTCATGACGACGGGACAAAAATTCTAAGTAATCAGTTATCATTTTGTTCCTGCCTTGTCAGATTCCAGGAGTCCACCAGGAGTGGTGACTCTTCTCAAACAAGTGTGGGCAGGGTCTGAGGGCCGAGAGGCTGGGTGGGTGGGACTTGGTGCGAGGCCTGCAGGTACCCTCAGGGACCAGCCTTTCCTTTTGCGTCAGATCTGGGACTGTGTTGGATGCTGGGGATTCCAAAACGAACACTCAAGAAGTTAATGTTCCAACTCCTGAGACCAACATATAAGCAAGCCATATTATATGATATGAAAAATACTATCCTAGAGCTATGCATCCTTGATGGAATGAGGAATTAATTCTGCTGGGTGATGGGGGATGGGGGGCTAAAAAGCTGGTTTGGTGGGAAGGTCTCACTGGGAAGGTAACCTTTGAGTGGACTTGAGATAAGAAGGGTACATGTCAAACCCGGAGAGGAGCCAGAGCAAAGGCACGAAAGCCTGAGTGAGCTCAGCTGACCAGGGAACTGGGAGTCTAGCTGGTTCCGCAGACAGCTGGCAAAGAACGAGTTTGCAGGTAACAGTTGCTATCATCGCCATCATCAAAGCTGAGATTTATAGACCCTACTATGTGCCAGGCAGTCTGCTAAGTGCTTTACTCACATCTCCTTTTTTAACACAACGACCCGAAGAGACAGATATTATGAACACCATTTTACAGGTGGGCGAACTGAGGCTTACAGAGAAGATACTAGCCCAGTGTAGGAAGCACCTACGCTCTTAATTATCGCACTTGCTATTCCCTGTTTGCCTTCCCTTTTCTTTGTGGATTTAAGAGGTGTGCTTTTCCCCAACCGCGGGTGTGTGCGTGCGTGTATGCCTAGGCCCCTCCTGTCTGATGGGGCACTCTGGAAGGTCAACAAGTAATTCTGCGTAAATTGAACCGGGCCTGAGGTTCCTTTTTTTTTTTTTTTAGTTCCTTTTTTTCTTTCATGAGAAAATTAAACCTAAAGAAGAAATGAAACATACTGAGAAGAGTTCATTGTGCCACAGCTACTGCCAAAGGCATTTGCCTTGAATCAAGTTAGCCAAGTTGGGTTATTACTGGAAAGTGGTCTTTTAAATATATATATATATGGGGGGTGTTAATGGGGCGTGTTACAGATTGGAAGTTAATTAGATTCAGGTTTTGGAGAGCTTCGAATGCCATTTAGAAAGTTTGGACTTCACTTTATGGGGAGATGAAGAGAAGGATGGAGAAGTATGTGCGCTCTGCCTGGGCACTGGGCTGGCTGGCGCCCCTGTGAGCTGCGTCGGTTTTCGAATGGGGGGTGGGGGTGGGCAGAGGTGCAGTCAGTTTAAGATGAACCTGTGTTGGATGTAGGAAGAATTGGAAGGGAAGGGGTTTAGAAGCAGAGATTCCAGTTTGCAAGTTGTGGTAAACTCTGGGGGTGAGGCGTGGGGATAATGCCCCTGAATTTACGTGATGATGATAACAAAGAGGGGGCATTTTATCAAGAGAGTCGTACATGGTAAGTATACTTTACAAGTAAACTCTGGTTTTTCAGTTTTCCAAATTCGATTTTTTTATTAGGGCATTTTCTTATTTTCGTTTTACTGTGGCCTTCACTTGGTTCTTATCTTACATTCTCCCGAAAATCTTCACCTTGAGCACAGGACGTCACTTGTTGTCTGTACCTGAATGAAACTCAGAAATGGAAAATCTTGAATCTGAGTCTAAACTTAGCCCTTACTGACTTGGAGAAGCATCTAAACTTGGCAAAACGCCTTCATCTGTCTTCAAGCAGTCGTCTAAAACGCAGATCTCTATGTGCCCCCCTCAACTAATGAACTACATCTAATAGCCTCTGTTTAGAGTCCTTTGAAAAAGGGATGGCATTTGGTTTTGACCTCATCGTCCATCTCAGCCTGTCCTTGATGAAAATATTCGCCCCTTAGGCAGGTACATTCCTCACATTCCTTCCTCTGCTAGCTGCTAAGACGCAGTTAACCCCGGTGCCCATGGGAAAATGCTGCTGTCTGCCTCAGAGAGGCTGAGGGGAGTGGGCACAAGATAACAAGAGGTGAAGAGGTCACAGTGGAAGGGCCTTTCATCTTTTCAGGCTGTTTCCAACCGAGACAAAGGATCCTGTCCTGGGGTGCAAGGCCCACTGGGCTTGATTTTACTGCCTGGTCCTGAAAGGGGGTGGAGAGGGCCTCATCATATCTGGATATTGTTTTGGAGGCAAATGCCTGGCTCCTGGGAAGTCCTGGACTCTTGGGGGAGTGCTCGGGAAGGGAGGAAGGGCCAGCAGCCTCTGCTCTGGCGGAAGCGACCACCCAGCTGACTCAAAGGAGAGTGTGAAGAGCTTGACTGGACAGAACTCTCCTGCAGGATTTATCATTCAGACACTGAGATTAAGGGCGTGAGGCTGTTTGGGGGCTTCAGACCTGGGTAGCTTTAGGATTTGCAGCAGAAGAGGAAAAGGAAGGGGTGGGTGGAGGGGGAAAGGAGGGTGGGTGGAGTGGAACGGAGAGGTCAGAGCAGTTGGGAGACTGTGTGCTTGCGTGCTTGCCCGTGTGTGTGTGTGTTGGAGGGGGGAGGTGAATCCAGATCTCCTCCCAGCTTGCCACTAACCTGCTTTTTGACTTCAAACAAGTAATTTCCCCTTTTGCACAATAAAGCCATTGGAAAGACACCAGAAGGGCGCCTCAGCAGGCTGAGTAAGGGAGGGGAGACTTAAGCAGCTCCACGTCCTCCCCAATATTCTTCCTCAGCTCACTTCATTGATTGTGTTTCATCAGGAAAGCGACGTAGCCACGCTGCCAATAAGTGAAGACCAACAACTCTGCATCTCACCCAGGTCCCCAACCCACTTGCCAGCACCTTCAGACAATAATAATTGCCTTTTGGGTGGATTTCCCATCGATCTTTTCCCCCAAAATGTGTATTTATTTTAACATCTCTAGTGTACCTACAGTTTTGCCTCCTGGTGCGTGTGTGCCCCTCCCCCTCATACGTTCTGTTTGCCCCTGCGGGTTTCTCACCCACCACCTTCACCTGCTCTGCGCTCCAGGAGGCGGCTGTGTGCTCGCTTGCCCTCCTCGGGCTTCTGGTTGGGTTTGGGGGGCTATGTCTTCCTCTGCTTGCTCCCTCCCTTCCTGATCACCGAAGACTAGCTGAGTCCTTGCATCGAAGGTCACAGCTCCCATCTTGGGCCCTCTCCACTGGCTCTCTCTTCTTGTCCCAGCAGGGTTCCATCTCCCCCTTCAAGTGCAGCCTGGAGGTGGACACAGCTTCCCTCTTCTCTGATGTTCTTCCAAATGCTTCCCGCACCTTTGTAAAGAGCTCCTTTATTAAACTTTCTTAAATTTCCCAACTTTGATTGTGCCAGCCGTTTCCAGCTGGGACTCCGACTGTCAGAAAATACATATTATTATTGTTCAGATTACTACACATACTCTGCGTGGCCTGTATATAGCTGTGTAGCATCATGTCGAGGAGATGTATACATATACTGTGATTCACGTCACTATTCCCTTATTGGACCACCTATAATTTGCTTCCTGTTTGTTTGTTTGTTTTGGTATCAAAAGCTCAGGGAAATATTGGTTTCTTTTCATTGCAGGCACTTCCTGTCCTTTCTGGGTTTAAGTTCACAGCAGGTGACCGATCCTTCCAACAGGTATGTTTTCAGTTGCACACCTTGGCTGTCCTTAGGGAGCTTACCAGCTGGTAGCACAAAAACTGAGAACCGTGATGCCAGAGGAAAACTGAGTCAGATTATATGCTATCTCGAGAAATTCAGAGGTAGAGGGGGGTACAGAGATGGGGGATGGTTAGTTGGAGAAACCTGCCAGCTGGCAGGCCGGTCTCAGAATAGGGCATCTAATCATCCCTGGGTTAATTTACCAGAGTCTAGAAATAAGACTTCATCTGATTTTGTTTGATTCGTATGTAAAATAAGAATGCCATTTATTAATTTTTATTTTTTTTAAGATTTCATTTATTTACTTTTAGAGAGGGAAAGGGAGGGAGAAAGCAAGGGAGAGAAACATCATTGTGTGGTTGCCTCTTGAACGCCCCTTCCTGGGGACCTGGCCCACAACCCAGGCATGTGCCCTTACTGGGAATCGAACTGGCTACCTTTTGGTTCACAGTCCATGCTCAATCCACTGAGTCACACTGTCACAGGTGGGCACAGGTAACCCAGTTCTTGGTGATCACGGACAAAGAACTGAACCGAACACACAGAGTTTATAGCATAAAGAGAGAGCGAGCAGATTTGTTAAGCAATAGTACACTCCACAGAACTTGGGAGCAGGCCAACTCCGAGCAGAGAGATTGACCCCTGGGACTGGAGGGATTCTATTAGCGCAGATCTTTCCTGGCTAGTTTTGGCGGGCTTTTATTGCACATATACAAGTTGTATTACTTTAAAGCTATTGCGCATGTGATCTCCCATGATTTTCCTTGACTGGCCACCAGGGAAGGGGGTGACACAATGTTAATTTATTGTAATGAAATTATAATAAAGCAGGGGTCATATGGCATCTTCTCCAAAGGTGCATTCATGAGTCACCATGATTCAGCAATTTTCCAGGAAGCAGGAACAACGTGTCTTAGAACAGGGTCTCTGTCCTCTATCGATGTCCTTTATCTTATTAGCCCTGGGGCACCTCCGGAGTTTCTGCCTTCCAGACTAACTCCTGCCTCAATATCAGCCAGGGTCGTTTACTGATTTTTAATTAATTTTAGAAATAGATAGGAAGGGGGAGGAAGGTCGGGGGAGAGAGAGAGAGAGAACACTGATGTGCTATGCATGTGCCCTGACTGGAGATCAAACTCACGATCTCGGTGCCTTGGGATGATGCTCCGACCAAGCTACCCAGACAGGGCAAGAATGCCATTTATTTAGTTTGCAAAAAAAAAAAAAAAAATGTCTGTCAGGTGGACCTGAATCTTTGTGCCAATGTGGTTGGCATATTACATCCTATAAGCAGAAACCAAGTAGTAACTGGAATAGTGTTTGAGGAGCACAGGCCTTTTTCAAGGAATGGTCAGATGACTTGGAATCTTCGGCAAAGCAGGCTGGAGAGCCAGGCTCACCCATCTCCACAGTGGGGATGACCCTCCTGTGGGACCTTAGTACTCCCAAGTCTGCACGCCAAGACCCTCCTCTAGGCCTTGACAGTGCTCAGTCAGCTGAGCCCTTTTAACTTGCCCTCTTCCTTGCCCTTGACTCTCCCTTTAAGGGATTCCTCACAATTTTAATCTGCACAGGAGTCACCTGGATCTCTCTCTCTCTCCTTTTTCACCTGGGGATCTTGTTAAATGCAGATTCAGATTTGGGTAGGTCTCTGGTGGGGTCTGAGAGCTGGCAGCTCTAGCGGCCCTCCCCATTCCAATGTTGTGGAAAATGCCTTCCGTCCGGTACAAGGGAGTCAGTCCTCTGGAGCCACTGAATCTCTTTAATAAAACTTCCTCCTCATCTCTGCTCTAATCCCCATTTTGTGGTAATTTACAGTTTAATATTCACATGGACACCTGTTTTAGTCCCCGGCTGAGGGGTGGGGCACGTCGTGGTAGACAGCTCCCTAAAACAGCAGGGGAATCTGGGAGGAGGCAGGAGCTTCACCTGGGGGTGGAAGGGTCCCCAGGCTCAGACTCGCGGGTCCTCTGCTGCCCCAGGCGCGGGAGCTGCAGACGCCCCACTCGGCCTTCACTTTCACCCAGTCACCGAGGTCACCGTTTCTGCTTTTAACAGAGGAAGAAAAAAACCCGTAAGTGGTTGTGCGCTGAGTTAGCTTGAGCCTTCAAAGAATTAAATAGGATGGGGAAAGTATCACAACAACATTGTTAATACTGCTTTGTGTTTTTAAGACACTTGACAGTTGCTACATCATCTGTCCACAATCTATTTGATCTGAAGGCACAAAAATTCTGCCGCCCTGAAGTTGCTTTTTGGGATATTAATGTTAAGCTGTTTATTAAGGAACAGGAGTCTCAGAAAGTTTTCGAGCCTCCCCTCTTTCCTGCCCAAAAGATTCAAACCGAGAAATCTGCTCCAAGAAGGAGATCTTAGGGTGCTGCCTTAGCTGATTTGAATTAAGTGTGGTAAACAACAGGGCTTCAGATGGGACCTGTTAGCTAGATACCCCTGTGCCCCCCAGTCTGAACTGCCTAGCAAGGATTTTCCCGCCCTGTATGTTCCGCTCTTGCTCAGCTCCCTGTAAATCACCCATTCTCACGTCTGGAATCTAATACCCTGCTCCTTTGTCCAAACTGTCTTATATATCCAGTGTTGCCTCATTGTCTTTGGAATTTTTATGCCTGTGTGAGTTCCCCATGCACATGTATTGAACTTTGGATTTCTCCTGGTAATCTGTCTGTTGATTTGAGAGTCCAGGTAGAAGAACTGAGAAGGCAAGAGGGAAAATAGTATCTTTTTAGCCCCCACGGATCTTTCAACAACCGTGGGAGGCAGAGTCAGCACTATCATCTCCATTTTCTAGAGTAAGCTGAGCTTTTGAGAGGGCAAACCACACGTCCAAGCTCAGCGTTGCGAGTTCGAAGCTTTTCGGTGCTCAGCATGCTTCAGGTCTGTTGCCTGGTGGAGTTGCTGCCCCCGTTCCTGACACGCGCACCACTTTGTACACCAAATGATCGCAATTACCCAGGGACCCAGACCCGCCTCTGCCCTTCTCACTGCCACTGCCCCACCCAGGCTTTCATCATCACACACTTGAACTATTGCCGTAACAGTCACTCTGGGTTATTTCAGGGGATGCGGAGACTCGAAAGAGGTCCCTGCACTGGGACAAGGAAAGACCAGTGACGGGGACACGTGCAGGGGCCTGAGGATGGGCTGGGTGATGGCAGGCTGTTCCCATTGGTCTTAAGACTATTGGGTTTATTTATTTATTTTCAGAGAGAGGGGAAGGGAGGAAGTGAGAGAAACATCAACGTATGAGAGATACATTAGTCGGTTACCTCTCACACACCCCTAACTGGGGACTTGGACTGCAACCCAGGCATGTGCCTTGACTGGGAATTGAACTGACGACCTTTTGGTTTACAGACTGGTGCTCAGTCCACTGAGCCACACCAGCCAGCGTGCTGAGCGTTCTGTGTATTCCCTGGTCAAGGTCCTTTAGTAACTTCACAGTGCCAAAACTTCAGCTTGGCATTCAGTGTCCCCCATTACCTGGCCAGGGCATTTTACCATTCTCAGTACAGACCTCTCACCACCCACAACTTTCTCCTGATTGGCCCTGGCACTTACGGCTGCATATGTCTATGATCTGGTGAAGGAATTGTAGGAATAACCCTAGTGCTACTTATTACTTGTCTGTCACTCTACTAAGCAATTTGTCACATTACTTCACACAGTCCTTACAACTCACTGTGGTAGAGATCATCTTCCTCGTTTCATAGGTGAGGAAATCAAGGTTCAGAGGCGTTAAGTAACTTGCCTAAGTCACACAGCCAGAACATGACTGAGTAGAACTCAGCTCCCCAGACCAAATCCAAAGTCATCTCATTCTTGCCATTCCACTCCACTGAAATGAGGGGCGGACGGTGGGTAAGGTAGGGATTAGTAACTATGTCTCCTCACCCCCGCTGCTCCCACACCCGAAATACTCACTTTCGCCTACAGGGGTGTCAGTGCTGCACTTCTGTCAACACACCCCAGAGACTCTCCCTCACCCTGAGTCCCCTCCACTGCTGCTTGCTCCCTTTCTATCAACGACCATGGATTACTCATGCTTCCATGGCCTTGGAATTGTTCTCTGTTGATTTTGTCATGGAGTGTATTTGAGCCCGACTACAAACTACCATTCAGACTGGCTAGATGGCCAACATCCATAATAATAACTAACAATTAATGTTGCTGAAAATGGAGACCAGTCATCAGAACACCAGTAGGGGCGTATCAAGGAGGCTTCGTAGTGTAATTAGTCCTGTCATATCTTTGGGCGACGGTCTCCTCACCTGTAAAGTGCAGGGGCTCGAACCAGGCCGTCTCTGGACAAGAATGCCAGGCCCCAGGCACGCTTCTGGGTAGTTGGAATTAAAATAGACAAAAATCCTTGCCCTTATTCTCGTACAAAGAGATAGTAGACAAAGTAAATACATAAAGCAGGGAAGGGGGAAAAGAAGCAGGCAGGAGTGACATAATCTGACTTACTTTGTAAAAGGCTCACTGGCTGCTGGTGGAGAAGAGGCTGTAACAGGATCAGCAAGTGAGCAGGAAGACCGGTTAGGGGGCAACCGCAGCAATCCGGATGGGGGCCGGTGCTGTGGCTGGGACAAGAAGGAGAGGAGGGTAGAAGCGGTCAGATTTTAGACACAGTTTGAAGGTAAAGCCAGCATAATTTACCCAGGGGTTGTGTGCGTACCTGGAGCAGACTCAGGGGCTTTGGCTTGGAAGGAAAGAACATCGGGAAGGATGGAGTCGCTATTAACTAAGACGGGAAGACGATGACAGGTGCAGTTTTGAGAAGAAAACCAGTGGAAGTAGGGAGACTCAGGTATTTGAATCTTGAGTTAAAGGGGGAGATCCAGTCTGGAGATATAAGTGTCAGAACCATCAAGGTATATAGATGATATATCAGACACTCTTGTTTTAAAGACTTTATTTTATATACAGAGAGAGGGAAGGAAGGGGAGGAGGGAAGAGAAAGAGAGAGAGAAACATCAGTGCATGGCTGCCTCTTTTACGTCCCCAAATGGGGGCCTGGCCCACAACTCAGGCATGTGCTCTGACTGAGAATTGAACTGGTGACCCTTTGGTTCACAGGCCAACACTCAATCCACCGAGCCACGTCAGCCAGGGTCTGATATCAGACAATCTTGAACACTGCTTTCCATCCCCTTGACCGCACTTCTTCCTCTGGCTGATGTAATGCAGCTGACGTTGGCTGGACTGGCAGTGGCTACCAGCTGACAGTACCTCACCCTTGCCTGCTCCTGTACTTCTTGCTTCCTGCCCAAGGTGGCTATAGGACAAGGGCAGGAACTCACTCAGCACTGCTGAGTATGTACATTGTATGTACAACCCAGAATTATTGAGGGGGGGGTTGGTGTCACGGGGCCACCCTTAATCAGTGGAGAATGGAAGCTGGTGGGTAACTGTGACCCCTTTTCATTCCTTGACAGACGGTCCTGAAGCCCCTGGGAAGGTTCTGTGGCTCACCAGTATTCCGTTGTGGACGTCAGCTCACCAATGCATTTTTGAATTGGTTTCCCTTTCTTTGTTTTTCTCACCCTGACCCTCCCTTCTGCTCTCTAGAATTTCATTCCTGTATAAACTATCCACATGCAAACCTTTTATTAAAGTTCTGCTTCTAGTGGTCCTAGGCTAAGACAGGTGGCATTTAACTCCATGAGACTGAAAGGGATCACCGAAGAATTAATGAAGATCAGGAAGAGTTCCTGATCTTAGCCCAAGGACTAAGCCCTGAGCCCCTCCCAGATTTATAGGTGAAGAACTTGAGAACCTACCAAAGGAGACCCTAAAGAATAACCCAGAGAGCGCAGCATTATGGAAGCCAGCCAGGGGGAAAGATGTTTCAGGAAGAAGCAACCAGCTGATCCTCACTGGGCAGTCAAGTATGATGAAGAGTCAGTGGTGACCACGGGGTTTGGCCACGGTGGAGGGAGCTATGGAGGGAGCTGGTGACCTTAACAAAGGGCAGTCTGGTTGAAGTTGTGGAGTGGGTTTGGGGGAGAAGCTGGAGGGGAAGGAGGGTCAAGAGAGACTTTTAAAAAGATGGGTGAGCCCTGGCTGGTATAGCTCAGTGGGTTGAGCATGGGCTGTGAACCAGAGGGTTATTGGTTCAGTTCCGAGTGAGGGCACATGCCTTGGTTACAGGCCAGGTCCCCAGTGGGGGCCATGTGAGGGGCAACCACACATTGATGTTTCTCTCCCTCTCTTTCTCTCTCCCCTCCCCTCTCTTTAAAAGTAAATAAATAAATAATCTTTAAAAAGTAAAATAAAAAGATGGGTGAAATGATAGCATATTATAATTACATACATTTATATACTGAAGTGAATGATTCAGCAAAAAGGGGAAAACTGATGCTGCAGGAAAGAGGTGAGAGCACTGCTGGGGGAGGCGGGGAGGAGGCGCAGTGGCCCCGAAGGTGTTTGCCTTAGATAGGAGCCTGGGCAGTTTATCCCCGACTGCAGGAGGGCAGGCCAGTTCTCACAGCCCGTGACTCACCGGCTGCTTGAATTGCAAGAGGTCATTGGGACTTTGAGTCTGGGCTTCCCATCAGCCCCCTCCATTTCACAGATGAGTCCCTGAGGGTAGTGACCTGCCCAAGGACACACCGTGGATTAGATGCAGAATCAGAATCAGAACCCACAGCTTCCCCTGTCTTGCCCAGTGACCACACTCGGCCACTCACCCCCACCTGTGCTCTGGGTAGTGGACAGATAGCCTAGTGGGATCCAGGAAGGACATTAGAAGAGGGAAACAAAGAACTGGGCAAGCTTCAGCCCTGGCTGGTGTAGCTCAGTGGATTGAGTGCTGGCCTGTGAACCAAAGGGTCATCGGTTCAATTCCCAGTCAGGGCACATGTCTGGATTGCAGGCCAGTTCCCAGCAGGGGATGCACGAGAGGCAACCATACATTGATATTTCTCTCCCTCTCTCCTTCCCCTCTAAAGATAAATAAATAAAATCTTAAAAAAAAAAAAAAACCCAAAAAGGAAATGGGCAAGCTTCAGAACAGGACCAATAAGCCACCAGGTAAGTTTATTTGAAGGTCAACTGATGAGTTCAAGGAATCTCCCCAGATGTATTAGGAGTCAACTTAGTCACTGTAAAGAAGCTCTAAACCTGCCAATTGGGTTAAAAAATTCAGAAGGAGGGTATTATAAAGCCAAGTGCAAACAGGAGAGCACATATCCCTTTGGAATATTGATTTCTTGTCTTGGATATGTTGTCAAGCCTTGTTTCCCAATTGGGGTTTGGAAACATGGTCCCTCTCAGGTCAGGCAGAGCCGAGCACAGCCTGAGCAGTGGGCCATGAGGTCCCAGGAGCCGGGGGCCTGACAGGCGCAGTGTGCTGGTCCCACAGAAGAGCCACACGCCGGGCTTTGCCTTGACCTCCAGGAGACGTGCAAAATCACTGCACTCTTCTCTAATTCCATTCATTTCACAAACATTCTCTGTGCTTTTGTGCCAAGTGCTTACAGATATGCAAGGTAAGGGAGCAGGGGAGGGGATGTACAGAACAGATAAACAGAAAGAGGTCGTGTCCTCAAATCTGTATGGTTACAATAAGGATGAGCTATTCACGCATTTGACTGTGGTGCCCGCTGCACCGTCTCCTATTTGTTACCTCAGTCCTGGACAGGAGGGGCTGTAGAGTGGGAAGAGACTACGTCTCTGGTCACTGCAAAGACAGCTCTCTGGATTCAAATATATACATTATAAACAGCTCTTGGGTACAAATTATTCCCATGTGAACCTGTTGAACGGGATGCACTTATCTCTCTGGCTGATCGCTCGTTGAGTCCTGCACAAGTAGCCAGAAGTCTGTTTGTTTTACGACAAACAGGAGAGAGGCCCTGCTGAAATTGGGGCCTAGGACAGAAACTGAAGCTGATGCTCTAGCTAAGGTGTTTGGGGAGTACGTAAACGGGTACGGTCTGTGACGCGATGCCTCTCTTTCCCCCTTTCCACCAAAACAGCGCTTGAAGAGGCACACGGGCCAGTTTCTGACTTCCATCTCGAGCGCAGAGGGTGCTATGTGATACGAGAGTTTCTCTGGAGAAATCATCACGATCTCCTTATTTCTGTCACCCCTCGCACTGTTTTAAAGCGTTTGCAATAACAGTGATTTCATGGACTCCTCACCTCCTCCCCATGAGGTAGGTGGAGCAGGCTTTCTTATCACCTTGTGCAGCTGAAGAGACCGGGGCTCCATCTGAGAGGTGACATGACTCAACACAGGTCGCATGGCTCATAAGCAGCTGAACTGTAGCTGGAATCCACGTCTCCTGACAGTGAGTCAGATGCCCTGGTGACAGGGAGTCTCCTCAGCCCCTCAGCCCTGGCATGAAGGTGTGGCCCCCCCATCCCGGGATGGCCAGGCTTTGAGTCCCGGCTGTGCCCTCACCAGCTGTATGGCCTTGGGCAGGTTATCTAAGGGTCTCTGTGCCTCTCCTTCCCCACTTCATACAATGAGCAAAGTAGTAGTGCCCAAGTCCCACAACCCCTAGTTAATGGAAATCTTTCACTGTGTGGGCTTACTGTTCTGCCTTTGACAGCGGCAGCCAGGGGACCTAACTGAACCTCTGCAAGCTCAGGATTACCTTCGAAGGGGGAACAAAGTGTAAGCTGGTTGTTAGAACAAAAGGCTCAGAAAGAACCTCTGTCCTCCCCGCTTACCTGCCGAAAGGAATTGAGATAGAAGTGCTTCAGGACGGTGGCCTGACCATGTGCTCCTGAGTGTGTATGAAGCAAGTGTGGCAGACAGGAAGGATCCGGCAAGTCTGTTAGACTCCCCCCCACGCCACTGGTTCTGGGGGTGCCCAGCAAGAATTTGTGTACCACGACATTTGCTCCTTCTCACCCACCTGTGAATTACCCGCTTTTGGTGGAAATCCCAGGCCCCTGTACTCCTTCTCCTCTGCCCAAAATGGCATATAAGCCTCAAATGCCCAGTGCGTCTTTGGGTTTCAGATCTATGGCACCCCCACATGTACATCCACAGTAAATTTTGGACATTTTCTCCTGTTAATCTGTCTCACGTTGATTTGATTATTAGCCCAGCTAGAGCTTAGAAGGTGGGAGAAAAGCTTCTTTTGTGTGTCTCCACACCTTGCAGAATGGAAATAGTGGAGAACAACGCGATCTGCAGCCTAGAGACCCCTGCACCCCACACAGTCTCTCTGCACGTCGAAACCTGGGCCCGGCGGTTGGAAAGGCAACCCAGAGTAAAGGGCCAATTCCAGCAGACGCCCCACAAGTAGGGTGAGAGTTGAAAGGTCGAAAGGGCGCTGCTCCCGCCTGCGAGTCCAGCCTCAGCTCTGCACTGATATCTGAGAACACCTTGAACCACTCAAGGTGCACCTCCATTTCCTCATCTGCAGCAGGAAGCCTGGATTAGATAATGTCTCAGCCGCCTTCCTGATAACCTGAAAGGAACTTGCTCCAGGACAACGGTGACACAATATGTACGGGCGGTCTCTAAAACCTTTTTCTATGAAAAATTTCAAACAAATTTTAAACCCAACAAAACAATATAACGAGCCCGCACAGGTGCTTCGTGGACCTCGGCAATGGTCTGGTTTTATCCCCACCGCCCCCCGCACTGGGGGCTTATCCGTGGAGTTCTTTTTTAGGTGGACGTCACACGCATTGGGAGGCAGAAATCTTAACTGTGTGATACTGACAAATGGATTTGCCCGTGTAAACTGTACATCTATCACTTTCCTAGAAAGTTCTCTCATGTCTGTCAAAGACAAATGTATGGCTGACCTTATTAAACAATAAAACTAAACAGAAATCTGAATTCAGCCTACTGGGTTCAGCTCTCTCCCTGGCTGGCGAGGCCAGAGTCAGACGTGCAGTCTCATCTGTTATTCCCCTTCCTGCTCTGTCCACTTCTGCCCTGCTGTGTGTCCCTGGAGGTTATGGCCTTATGTGTGTGCTCTGCTCCCAATTACACACTGGGAGGCCTTTGCTACTATGCCGGCCGCAAATTCTCAGAAGCTCGCTTTTCTTCTCCCTGTACTTATGCTTCTCCAGGTGTTTTCTTTTGTCCTCTTCCATTTTTCTTTCCTACCACTGCTTTCTCATAACTGCTGCTGTTTCCTTTCCTTTAGAGTGTTCTCACTTTCCTGAGTTCATTCAGCCCATCTGCTCTGGGCTCACTGTCCTTTGTCTTCGGACCGTTCGTATCCTGGACACTAGACGCTGAGCCACAGTCCCAGCGTGCAGCCCAAGGCCGGCACATGGTCCACAGGGAGCGGGTGAGCGCAAAGGGCCACATATTCTACCAACACTTGCAGTCTAGTGACTTTGCTGCTGCCTCCTAAGGAACCCCAACCCGTCAGCCTTGCCACTTCCGGACCAGTGTTTCTCCTTGCATCGAGCAAGAATCTATTTCTCTGTCCCTTTGGAACCCCCAGCATTTGAAAGGAAGAAGGCTGATTTCCTGGCAAAATGTGACCCAAAGGACCATTCTTCCCCCACCCCCATCATTAAAAAAGAAAGCAGAGCAAGCTGGGCTATCAGGGATAACTTCCTGTTTTCCTCTGCTGAAAGCATCCTGGACAGATGAAACTGAGGGATCAAAGGGGCTGTCCGCCTCTGGGGCTCCGACAGCAGGATGGCTTTTAACCCTCTGCTGACTCCGATGTGGGAGTGCATAGGCAGTTTATGCCTTATATTTCCTGGGTAGGTCTAACTTTCTGAGGCCTTGACATTCATCCATTCATCAAACACTAGTATACTCTACCAAATGCCAGGCTTTTGGGGGGGCTCTGGGGATACAGGGATGAATATGACAGTCCCTGGCCTCATTCATCTAACAGCAGTGACCACAAGTACTAACTGAGTTAAGCCCTTTAATTCAGGCACTCACTATGTGCTTTTTATGCATTAGATCCTCACGACAAGCTCATGGGGAATTATTCTGGCCATTTTACAGGTGAGGAAAGCAGGGCTCGTGAGGGTGAATAACCTGTCACAGGCACATGACTAGTAGATGCTGGGGCTGGGGTTCGAGTCCAGTGGTCTGAACGCTCCCACCTTCTTAGCTGCTACACTACCCTAAAACATGGCAGTGATTCATTGCTAGTAATTTTGACAAGCGCAGTTTATCTCTGGGCTTGGTCAGGTGGCTCTGATGACCAGATTTGTCTGCATCCCATTTCCCGCCCCCACTGCACTAGGACAGAGGTGAGCTGGCTTAACAGCCCCCAAAGACTGGAAGCAAGGCTGAGAAACCAAGAGGCCCTGTTTGGCCCCATTCAGGGGACAAAGAGCGTGTCTGGTTCTTGCTTCCCCGCTCTCTTTTCTGGAACAGATCAATTTCTCCAGGGTTTTTTTTTTTTTTTGTGGGGGTGTTTGTTTTTGCATTTTCTCTAAAGCCTCAAAAGAGACCAAGGGCTTGTAGATAGGTAATAATAGCAACCAAGTAGATGTGTACTGAAGAATTATTCTAGGCCTTTGCTTATATCTTCTCTTGCAAGCTTGCAAAAATAGGTAATATTATTTTCTCCATTTTAGTTGTTAGTCAACATATCCAAAATCACGCAGCTAGACACAGCCAGGATTTGATCCTAGGTTTGACTAACTCCAAAACATGCACTTTAATTACACTGTCTCCCTGTTGCTGAAACTTGGCAGAGAGAGGAAGGAACTCCCTTCCTGCTGAGATTCCTGACAAACCAAAAGTGGCAGGTGAGGATACCAAACAACCTTGAGATCACTGGGTAGGGACACCTGGCACAAAAGGATCTTACGGTGCTTCCGACTCTGCAATTCTATCTCTTTAAGACCCAGAGCTCCCATGCCAAGCCTGCTCCATGATCCTCAGAGATTTCAGGGGTGGGGAAACTGGATTGAATACGCTGACATACAACAAGCAAAAAAAGACCTCAGCGTTTTTGCCTCGCCTCAGTGGCTCCGGCCTTTCCCCACCCCTCCGCCTCATTTATTTATTACTATGCTATTCCCTGGCCCCGCTGCTGTGTCAATACTGATAAAAGCAAATCGCCCCACAAACAGGTGCAGCCAGAGCTGCCCCTTGGACAGCTGCCAGGGAATGTGATCGCTCAGCTGGGGTGACCTGCCCCTGCCCAACCCCCTTCTCAGGTTCCAGTCCAGGGCATGTGTCCTTGGGCAGTTAATGTCATTCCTCATGCTGTGAGCCTGGTATCTCAGTTGGCATCATGGACTCAAGCTGGCAGGCGTGGGTGGGGTGGGAGTATGCAGGACAGAGGGGCTTCCAAGAGGTATTGCTGTTTATTTTCTGTTTCAGTTTCTTCTGAAATTCAGATACTACCATGTCTCCAAATCCCTCCTGAAAATATTTCCTAAGCGACCAGAGGGGAGAGGGAAGGGAACTTAAGGGGGAAAAGGGGGAGGGATTTTGAGGAATAAGTATGAATGACACAGAGATGAGGACTGGGGGGGGGAATGGGAGGGAGGGGGGAGACCGGGCGGGGGGGGGGAAGAGGAAAAAAAATATATACTTGAAAAGTAACCAAATAAAATTATTAAAAAAAAAAAGAATATCACTGCATGATTTTTCTAGGTTAGAAATATTTTTCCCAGGCCTACCCATTTCCAGATTCACACAAACGCTTGCAACATAATGATCCCGAAGACATTTTCCGAGCCCCTCCTAGGGCTTAGCCGAGGGTTCACCTAAATCAACACTTTCGGAGCCAACCACGTTATCCAGAATGCATTTTGATGCTACCAAGCCATGTGACTTTGACTCTGGTTTGGAAAAGGTTGTATTTCATCCTCCCTCCCCCATTTTTATGTTCTGTCCCCAAGCCTTATTTCCCCACCTCCCCAAGGCACCAGCCTTTCCAGAAATGTCCTAGCTCAGAGAGCAGCCTTCCTTCACCTGCCCGGGAGGTAGGACTGTGGCAACAGCAGATGACAGAGCAGCGCGGCCCGCGGGCGTTGGGGCTGGAGCCACGGGGCCAGGCTGTCTGCCCGCCTGAGGCCCGGAGCAGCGCAGCTCGAGGGGGAAGGGAGTTGCTATGCAAATGACACCGCGGCCTGCGATCCCCTCACCCTGGGGCCCTCCGGTTGCCAAAACAGACCATTCCCCAGAACAGTCGCCTAGAAACGGGCGCTGTCATAGCAGCCTCTCCGCTGCGGTGGCGGTGAGCCAGCCTGGCTGCCAGGAGCTGGGTCAGGGTGTTCGGACCTCTCAGCGCCCCCTCCCCACGGGTCTCCACCTCAGGGAAAGGAGCGGTGGCTTGGGCCCCTCCCTGGAGCAGGGGAGGCTGCTAATTGGATTGGAACACTCCACAAACACATCAGCTGCCTCTCCCTCGGGAAAGGGGGGTGTGTTGCGGGGTGGGGGGGCGTTGCACGTGGCTTCCGACTGTCTTTGTGCTGGGTCTCAGCCTCACCCTCCCAGCAGCCTCGCCCTGACCCGGTCCTCACAAGCCTCCACCCAGAGCCTTCCTAGGGCAAAATGGGGCAAGCTCCTTGAGGAGTGGAGGAGGCTGATGTTGAGCAGATAACTACCAAGATGAAATTCAGCTCTGATACGGAGGGGAACATGACGTTATAGGAATCTGAGATAGGGGGTCTGACCTGCTTTAGAGGGGTTAGGGGAGAATGCAGTTTTGCTGCCATCCCTCAACACCCCCCACCACGGCTTCCTGCTTCCTGCCCAGCCCGTGCTGACCTGGCCAGCCCCAGGCCCTGGGGGCAGACATTGTCTACCTCATTTGGCAGCAAGAGAGGCCCTTGTTGTTTCAGTGTGTGTATCTTGCCTCTTTTCAATTAAACGACAGCCTAAACTTCCAAAAGGTAGTTTAAATTTTGTGATGGCACCCCCACACGGCAAAGGACCAGACAGATGTGGACAGACCTGCCGGAATCAGTGCCGGTGATCCGTGTCACCCCGGGAAACCGCCCCCCGCTGCCTTTGCGGCGACTCATCCAGATCTGCCTCCAGAAACTACTGAAGCCTCACACAGCTCTGGGGTGGGGGAGAGGAGCAGATTCCCTGGCAACCTGGGTGACATTAAGCCAACAGGTGAGGTACAAGAAAGCGAGTGGGTACTTAGGACACAGCGTTCCCTGTGGTCCAGTCACTGCACACCGTGGGCAGTGGCAAGTGCGTCTCTGAAGCGGGTGGGAGGCCAGCTTTGTGCCTCTGTGCTGGGCAGGGGCGTCCCCTTCCTTCATAACCCACAGAGGCCTTGGGGGTCTTACGTACTCATAGGTAAAGTCTGCATTCAGCCTTCTCTTTCTCCCCTTCCTTCCTCATGTATTGCAAGCCTCCTGTGGGCCAGGCACTGGAGATTCAGGGAATGATTTCACTGGTATGGAGAAATGCCCTGCATAGTACAGGGGATAGTTGCCAGTCTCCAGTCTTTGATTTTGTGGCTTTTCCCCACATCCTGAATTCCACTTCTTCAAAGTGAAGGCCTTCTTTCCCAGACTCCCTTGAAACTTAGGTGTAGGCATGTGACCTAGTCTCCACCCACATAAGATTTTGATTTGAAAGAGGGCAACTAAGGAAATGGTCATCACGAGGAAGAGGTCTGGAGGTGGCTTCTGGCCTTTAGGGCAATGAGAGGGATGTTTTGGGATCCAATTCCCACGACTGTTGAAGGGGGTGGGGTGAGGCAAATTGCTTATGGATGGCTGTCACCGCGGCTTGTCCGGCAAAGGAGCTCTGGATGGTCACCCCTGGATTCTGAGCCTTGGTGCCTATCTGCCCTTCTGGATTCTGAGAGCCTCTTAATATATATTTTTAAAGATTTTATTTATTTATCTTTAGAGGGGAAG